GATTAGACTCCATTTTGTGACAGATTTTTGGACTCTCCCACTGGCCCTCCCCCCTTCCGGAGCCTCCTCTAGGAATCGCCACCTCCCCAGGATAGAAACCCTTTCCAGACAGCGATAGACAGCAAGAGAGTTACATAATTCGATTTGGTCAAACCTCGGAGAAAACAAATTGGGGAGGGGACGTTGTCATTTTTGTTTTGTACCCCCCATCCCCCTTGTCTGTTCTGCGTTGTTGGAGGACGCGGAGGTTCGAGATTTCACAGAGGCCGTGTTTCCTCCTAGTTTCTAACCGGGTTTTCTCTCCTAAAAGGGGCAGAGGCTGTGGCTATTTTTGGTTTTGTTTTTTAGAAGGAGGCCCCCACCAAAAATAAAAAATAAAAATAATAAAGTAACACGCAGAGAGAAGGAGATTTTTTCGAGTTACAAGTGAAAATGCCTAAACTCACAACCCACGATCTGTTTTGCCAAACTAAGAACGCAAGGGTGGACTTTATCTAATGCTACTAAATGTGTCCAAACGTCAATTAATCACCCGTGTGGTGCCTAAAATAACTGCGCATCTGGGTGCCTGGATCTTTGAGAACAAATCGAAAGGAAGAAGAGATACTTATTAAAAATGGCAACCTTTAAGAACCGACCCTGAGCTCCTACAACCGGGTGAGGACACTTTTTTTTAAAGTTGGGGGGTGTTAATTTCCCCAATGCCACTGACACACAGACTAGACAAAATCTAGAAGGCACGTTTCTGCACCCGCTTGCCTTGATTCTCGGCTGAAAAGCATTTGCACACAGGTGAAATAAATATGCATGTGCGATTCTCAAAGGAAAAAAAAAGAAATTGTGAATAAAAAAATTCTTACTGTGTAAAGAACATTTGCTTCCCAGTGAGCTCTTGGCTGACTGGATTTGCTTGCTCTCCCCATGAAATGGTGCCTAGGACCGCTGGGGGATTTGTTCCCCAAATTGTCTGCATCCCCGCAGGCCAGCCTAGTGAAGATACCTAATTGGCATTATTGGAAGAAAGAGGGGATGAGAGAGGAGGAGGGGACTTGAGCTGAAAGAATAATGCCGTCCCCTTCCACCCCCAGGCTTTAGGCTCGCAGGACCCAGACTCTAATCAAGACCTGAGATTCACCCTACGACAAAATTCATTCCCGACACACAGGACTGCACGGAAGCAGCAGGCTCTGGGCCAACTTTTTCTTGTCTTTTAAAAACAAATATATACATTGGACAAAGCAGTTGCAAATGTTGAACTGTTTTGTAAAATAAAGGGGGTCAGTCCTTCATCTCTAAGGCAACATCCAGCTCAAATGTTGTGACTTTTCACCTCTATGCCTGCAGAACCAAGGGGCGTGCTTGAGTTCTTTTAAAGAAAAACCCTATAATAATTAGGGAGTAAATACGTACAAGAGGTTGGAAAGAGTCTTTCCGACAAAAAAAAAAATTTTAAAGCTACGCAAATATTTCAGATGCCCATTTCTCCTTTCCTAGCCTCTTGGCCCCACGTGTTGAGTTGTTGAAGCTTCTGGCTGAGCTGGGTAATAAGTGGCACTGCCAGAGCTCGGGGTCACGCAGGCACAGTGGGGCCAGGGGTACAGGGTGTGGATGGGCTGGAGGCTGGTGTACACTATTATATGCTCCCCGGCCCTGGCCAAAGCCCACAGCCACAGGGACCCCAATTTATTTGTACTGCTTTGTGCCCTGCTGTGAGTAAACTGACTGATTCTCCTAGAATTAGACTCTACCAGTCCCAGACACCATTTCATACAGTGGGGGAGGTCCCAGTCAGCTGTGTCCCAGGACCAGTGAAAAAACTTATCATCTGAATGGACCCTGATTCCTGCCCACAGAGTCCCCAGCCAACAGAAAGAGCAAGGTCCAAAAAGCAGCTCCTGCCCTTCCCCACACCAAAGGGGCACAGCCAGCGGTTTCAGGGTAGAACTTGATGGCCTCTCTAGGGTTCTAGCCTGCAGTCCCAGTCCCACAGCCTCAGCCAAGCTGTTGGGCTTCTGCACTGTCCACCAGGCCCTGGATTTGGGGACACTCCTTGGGCACGGCAGGTAGGCTGTACGAATCACTCAGCACGGGCAACTCAGCCTTTTCCCGGAGCTTTGGACACACACAGTCCTCTCAAAGCCCCAAATAACCTGACCATCTTCCCATCCTGCAACCCTACCCAAGACGATTTTCTAGTCATCCCTAAAAAGTTCTCACAGGCACTCAGTTTGTCTCTGCAATGTCACTCTGGGGGCCTCCACACCTCTTCTCGCTGATGTTCCTCACTGCCTTCCTCCCAATTGCACTGCCAGGCACAAAACCCAGCAGGTCAAAAGAAATACCCTGAATCTATTCTCATGTGTCCTAGGCCTCTTGCCATACAAATCCATAGGCACAGCTACACACAGAAGGCAGCAGGTAAGGGAGGCTCAAGCCATGGTCAGGGTGGCTGACCCCTCTCCAACACACACTGCATGAAAAGGAGGTGGTCTGGGAGGGCTGACTGGCTCTCTTCCGCACCTTCATTTCGAGTCCTAGACTGCAACTTGCCATTTTAAGATCCTCTTCCTAGGTTGCTTCGCCAGCCAAGAAAAATTATAACTGCAAAATTCCCGCACGGAACAGTTTGGGGAATACGGACACTCATTTCTCTCCATCAGGGACTAAAAGTGCAGGAGGGAGCCTGGCAGAATGGGGGCTCCTAACTGCTAAGACAAGTCGGTGGCCCAGGACATGACTTTCCTGCTCCAGGAATCCCAAACCCGCTCAGTCTGGGAAAGAAGACCGCCAGGCTTGGCTCCGTAAAGCACTACCTGCCTTTGAAAAGCAATTCTTGGTTTCCATTCAGACCTCAGTTGGCCCAAATCCTGGCCCCCGACTAAAGGCAGCAAATTCGCCATTAGACCCAGGGCCTTGTCTTGTGCCCCAACTCAGCGGTCCAGCGCAGGTTTCTCGCACAACGATGGCACCTAGGGGCCAGCGCTGGCCGGATAGGTTAGTCTGCCCCAGCCCTGCGACGCGGGGTCTGCGGAGCCTTAGGAGCTGCCAGGCCCAGCCACACGCAGAGCCCGGAGCGGTGCGGGCGGCGAGGGCCCTACCCGGCAGGGGGCTGACCGGGCTCAATTGCCGGGCAGCGGGGAAGGAGCAGGACGAGAGGCGCTTACTGTTGGTAGTCTTGTTTGCAGTACAGTTTCCGATCCCGGAAGTAGCAGCTGGTGGTGAGGGCTTGCTGACATGCCGCGCACTGCAAACACTCCTCGTGCCAGGACGACTCGTTGACTCGCATCAGGAAGCGGTCGGAGATGGGCCGCTGGCAGCCCTCGCAGACGGCGGGATGCGGGCAGTCGGAGCCTGCAGCGCACAGGGCGAGAACCGGGCCGTCAGCGCCGCCGCCCTGACCCAGCCCCAGCCCCCGCGTCCTGGGCACGCTGTGCCCGCAGCCCCGGGTCTCGAGGGCGAGGGCGGCCCGGGAGCGCCTCCCGCCGCCTGTGCTCCTCTGGCCGCAGAATCAAGGGCCCGGCGGCCCCAGCCAGTACGTATCCGTCTGCGGGCTCCAGAGCGGACAGCCGCGGCCCTTGAGCCTTGGTCAGGCGCTGCGCTGTCCCCTTTTCCAGAGATTCAGCGCCTTGGTGTTAACTGGCGTGGGGCAGCCGGCTGGGACCCAGAGAGGCAAGGTGAGGCGGGGGCGCTCGCTGGCTGACACGCCCCGAGGTGGCGATCGTAGCCTTCTGTCCCCAGTCTCCTCCCAAAACTGTGATCTGGATGCTGGATGGCCCAGGGGACAGTTTTTCTCCTGGACCCCCCCCCCCAGGTGACCAGGCACCTCTCCCAGCCTCCAGAAGGTGACTACTTGGGTTTTCTACCACCCCTGCCACCCGCTTCCCAGAACCTAGGCAGGATGAGGACGGCGGGTGACAGCTGCAGCTGTCCTGTCCTCCCTCATCCTGAAGCATGTACCTGCACACCCCGTCCCCTCAGGGAGACCGCCTAGGCGTACTTGTTGACCCCCTGGTGATCACTGGAGGAGTCCCGTCCCTGTCTCCCCTCCCCGTTCGCTGCAAACCCATTTTCTTTATTCGTCGGCCTCGATGCCTGTGTCCACTGCGGGAGGCCGCCGCTGTCCCCTGCCCATGCCCCTCGAGCGTCGGACCCCGCACTCACCCAGCAGCACCCCCAGAGTGGCGGGCCCGGGGCGCAGGGCGTGCTCCTCCATCTTGATGCCATCCAACATCTTGGCGCAGTCCGTCTGCCCTCGAGGGAAGCACCTCTCCAGCGACTCGGGACCTGTTGCTATATCCATGGGACGCAGGGCACGCTGCGGACCCCGCCGGCCGGGCCGCTCGCCCACCCGCCCGTGTGCCGCTCGCCGCCGCGGCCCTGGAGCCGGGGAGGCGCGGCCCCCGC